AGTCTCGTGGGCTATCTCGATTCTCAGCAATAGAATTCGGTGTGGCCTTTCGCGCTAAGTGCTGATAGGTATTCCCAAGGAGTAAGATTCACTGCAGGCATACGCAGAGCATTCGGTACCTGAGCGCCGTAAGGCGTAAGCACTGCGCCGCGTAGTAAAAATGGACTGATTAAATTTGGATTGAATTCCAGAGACAGGATATCAATCATCGCTGTTGAAGGGGTGGAAGAGAAATTCCAGTGTTGACAGCGCGTTGATGTCCGTGTTCACTGCAGCCGCAATGCATATCCGGTAATTTAAGCACTGCGCCGCGTAGTAAAAATGGACTGATTAAATTCCGGCAAAATTCCGGAGACAGGATGTCGATCATCGCTATCGGAGGGGTGGAAGAGTCACGACAGGTGGACACAAAACAGGCGGGAGTCCAGCGCCGAGAGAGCGCGAAGTCTGTGTCCGATTCGAGTCTGATTTCGTCGAGAACAGGAAGAGTAATAATACGTCGCACGAGTTGTGACATCACCCATCGCCCATCACCCCAATCTGGACTGTTCCCTCCTCCCTCTACTCCTGAAGCAAGCAAAACGATTAACAATTCTAAGTAACGAGACGTGGCCAAAACAATACACTATCTTTTGAGCACCCCGCGCCGCGCCGCGCCGTATATATATATATATCAGTCCAAAACGTACACCTCCGCCTGCTCCCCTCTTCTCCTCCCCTCCTCCGCCTCCCGACGAGTAATGCGGACTACCCGACGAGCAACGCGCACAGAGCCGTCTAATGCCCATGGCTAAAATGGAACTGGAACCCGCCCCCGCCACCCCCGCCGGCGCCCTGCTGGAAGAACTGCGCGAAGGGATGCCCGCCCTGCTGGAAGGGGTGTCCGCCCTGCTGCGCCATCGGGTCATTCGGATCCTCGCCGTTGTCGAAGCGTTGGCGGAGTTCTGTGGGGGGCGTTAGTCGCGGGATATGAGGGGAGGGGGGAGGGGACGAGGAAGGACGGGGAAGGACGAGGAAGGACGAGGAAGGACGAGGAAGTCGCGGGACATATATGGAAAGGAGGGAAGACGAGACCAGGACGTCGTCGGTAAGAGTCAGAGGCCGTCGTCGGTACGATTCAAAGCAAGGAAGTCGTGGGTACGCCTCACGACGACGCGAAATGACCCCAAAAAGAACAACCAAAAATCAAAAACGCAAAAAAACCGCAAACGCACCTGGCTTCGACAACACCTCGTACGCCTCGTTCACCGCGGCCATCTTCTGCTCCGTGCCGCCCTTGTCGGGGTGCGCCGTCTTGGCGGCCGTGCGGCTGGGGGGCGGTGGTTAGCCTCGGTTAGCTTAGGAAGAGAGGGGGGGGGGAGGGGGGGGAGAAATGGGTGGGAAGGAAAGTGGGAAGAGAGGAAGAGAGGCAGAAGACGCGAGGGGGTGTAGACTCGGGGGATTCCAGGGCATCGGGCGACGAAGGGAGAGCACACGGCGTAGCCGTGCAGTCGCGTCGGCGCATCGGGGATACGAGCATTGGATCGGCAAGATAACGGACGTGTAGGCAGAAATGAAAGAGGATAAGGGACGCACAAAGCCTTCTTGATCGTCCGCGCGTCTGCGTCGCGTGCGACGCCGAGCACCTTGTAGTAGTCCTTCTGCCGGCTCTGCTTGAGGAGGCGCTGCGCCTTTTGGAGGCGGGCTTGGAACTGCGGGGGGTGTCAGCGGGGTGTGTGTGGAGGGGGAGGGAGGAATGGGGTGGGAGGGAGGTGGAGAACAAAGCGGCTCGTCGCGTGTATGAAGTGGCGGGCGTCGGCAGCGCACGGTACATCGGCGTCGGCGTGGTGGCGCCATCGCCGCCCGCTCACGCCATCTCCCGTCCGCTCTCGCCCGCCCCCGTCGTACGTCGTCCCAACGCCAGGCGGCGCCGCCCGGCGCCCCCTCCCCAAAAAAGAGAAAAATCCAAAAACTCACATCCCGATCCCCCCTCCCCGTCGCCTCAAACGCGCGCTCCAGCAGCCTTACGCCCTCCTCCCAGTCTTCCCGCACCACCGCCGCCTCGCCCAGCCCGCGCAGCGCGTCCGCGTCGTCGTCGCCGCCCTGTGTATAGGTTAGCGTCGGTTATTGTGTTCGTGACAGACAGAAAGAGAAAGGAAGACGATTGTCATTCCAAGACGCTCGTTCGCAAAACGCAAAACACAAAGCCGCGGAAAATCCCAGCCAGACGCGAAGCCGCGAAAAACCGAATCGCAGAAAAAAAAAATGGAAGCCGAGGAAACGCACCTCCATCGCCCCCAACGCGCGACACCACTCCTCCCCCTTGCGATACATCTCCAGATGCGTGTGCGCCTTGCACAGCCCGCGCAGCAGCGCCCTGCGTCTCGGGCTCGTCCGCGCCACCGTCGGCAGCACGATGCCCTGCCCCTTCCCTCCTTTCCCGCCCTCCGCCCCCAGCCCAAACTCAAACACCCCCGCCGCGCCCGCAGCCAGCGCCCCCGCGCCCATCTCCGCGCCCGCCGCCTCCTCGAACCGCTTCCACAGATTATTCGCCTTGCCGCTGCCCGTCAGCAGCGTGAGCGCCGCGCGCCACTCCCCCGCGCCGCCCAGCTCCTCCATCTTCGCGAACCCGCGCTCGAGGGACTTGGCGAGGCGGTGCAGCGGGAGGCAGAGGCGCGACTCGGGGTCTGCGTGGAGGCAGGCGCGGAGCGCGTTGGTGGGGAGGGGCGAGGGCGGGAGGAGGAAGAAGGACAGGCGGAAGGTGAGGGCGTGGAGGGGCGCGGTGGAGGAGGGGGGGAGGAGGGAGGTGAGGCGGCTGGGGGGGTGTTAGTGATCGGGTATAAGGAATAAGGAAGCAAGGGGAGGGGCGACGAGGAGGACGGGAGGTAAGTCACATGGATGAATGGGACGGGGAGGGAAGTGGCACGCGCCAGGTGGGGACGAGGAAAGAACGGAGCGGGGAGGGGCGATGGAACGGGAACGGGAACGGGAACGGGAAGGGAGGATTGGAGGAGGAAGGAAAGCAGGAGGAGAATGGAGGGGCGAGGGACAGACGGACGGGCGGAGGGGCGAGAAAGAAAGGGAAATACGGAGAGAGGAGGGAACGAGGGACGAAGGACGGGGCAGGCGCAAGAGGACGGAGAGGGAGGTGGATGGAGGAGGAAGGAAACGAGGGACGAAGGACGGGCGGGGCGGGGGACGGGGAGGAGGAGAGAAGTGGGACAGGTGGATGGAAGGAGGACGGACGGGGAAGGGAAGTGGGACGGGACGGAAGCGAGGAAGCAAAGAGGGAGGCAGGCAGGAAGTGGGACCGGGACGGGGAAGAGGGCAAGGAGGAAGAAAGCAGGAAGGGCGGGGGACGGGAGGCATGGAGGAGGAAAGGAAGGAGGGGGTGCAGAGCGGGGAAAGATAGGAAGGGGCGAGGGACGCGCCAGGTGAGAACGAGGAAGGAATGGAGCGGGGAGGAGGACGGGGGCGGAGCGGGAGACGGGGACGAGGACGGACGAACGGACGAAAGAACGGGCGGGAAAGAAGACGGCAACGAAGAAAAAACCCACCTCATATCGCCCACTGCGCCCTCCACGTCCCCTGCCCCCAGCGCGCACTCGACCCGCAGACTCCGTATGCTCACACTATGCGTCGCGACCCTCAGCGCGCGCGTCGCGCTCTCCCCGCACGCGGTCCACAACTGCGCCGCGCGCTCGCGCGTGGCCTGCGCCGCCGCCGCCTCCGCGTCGGTGACTTCGCTTAGCAGCTCGTCCTTCTCGTTCGCCTTCTCGCCCGAGGAAGAATGAGAAGACGACGAGGGGGAGTAGTGAGCGAGCGCCGCCCTTGCGCCGCCAAAGTCGCCGTCCTTTGCGAGGATGCGCGCGCGCATGAGGTGCGCGGCGGGGAGCGGGGTGAGCGCGAGGACGGCCGCGGCGTCGTCGAGCGCGGCGGCGTGCCGGCCGAGCGAGAGGTATGCGGTTGCACGCTTGTAGAAGAGGAGGTAGTCCGCGGGGGATTGGTCTGTGAAGAAGGGAAGGGGGTTAGTGGGTGGGGGAGGAGGAAGAGGAGGAGTAAGAGTAAAAAGGCAGGGGAGCTTTCCCCGCGCTCGAGTCCCGCTTCCTCGAAACGACGGCAACAGGAGAGCGGCATACACGAGTTTAAGGGCCGACAAGTAGTCGCGGCGAGCAGTTAAGCTTCGTGTCCCGCGAATACGCGGGTCTAGCCAGCCCGCGACGGTAGCGCATGCGTCAGGGCGCCGCAACGCGCCCCAGCGCCGTGGCGGGCCCAAAGTACCGAGGACGAGACGCGGATGCGCCACCAGGAAGCGAGACCCTCCCCGGAGGCACCTGCATAGACAAGCGGCGCAGAAGAAAGACACGGGGCCGTGGATAGACGAGTGCCGCCGACAACTGCCCGCAGCTCGCAAATACGCCCCGCATCCGAAGATGGCCCGGGGCCGCATACGAGGGGGTCTGCCCCGGTGCAGATGCGCCAGTCTTCCCAGTCTGCCCCCAGCTCTGCCCCCAGCACCGAGTCGCCCTGAGCCCCGTACAACGCGCAGTCGGCCCAATGCGTTCCCCAGAGAGCAACTAGAGGAGGAGGATCGCACACCACGCACCTATAGCCTCCGAATACACCTTTGCAGCCTCGCCAAACTGCCCCGTCGCCAGCAGCACGTTCGCGCGCGTGATGAGCGGCTGCAGGCCCGGCGGGTAGAGCCCTGTCGCGGTGTCCGCGCCCGTCCCGGGCAGGAGTCCGAGGAGGGGAAGGAGGGGGAGGAGGGCGCGCGAGGGGAGGCGCATCGTGGTACAGCAGGAGAAGGAGGGTGAGACAGGGTGTAAGGAAGGTAAGGAAGGATAAATGTTGATTCCGATTCGAGCCGGCCCTGAAGTGGACACGTTGGGACACGTGGCGGAACCACAATTACTATATTTGATTTCGCCGTGGGTTTTTGTTTTCTCTCTCCCTCTCTCTGTACCGATTCAATATTCAATACGCAGGCGTTAATGCAGGGTTGAAATCACAGATAGGAAGGCCTGGTAGCACACGGTGTGCATCCGTACCCTATTTGCGAGTCATGAAACATCCATGCGGACACCGGAAGGTCCCCGTTCGACTCGGGGCTGGGCCATACTAAATAGGCCGGACCTGCCTTTTTTTTGGGGGGGGCGTTCCTCGCTCCCCCTTTTGACCGGCAATGTGAATACTTACTTGAGCAAGGATTTGAAGGGTGTTTTATCCAGGATAAAATCAACGATACCCAGGCCTGGTGACACGCGGTGTGCGTCCGTACCATATTTCTGGGCTGTTTATACTTATGTGCAGAAGGTTCCCGTTCGATTCGGGGCTGGGCCATGAGATTTTTGAGTCTCTTCCTTTTTTCTGTCCTCTTTCACGGTTTCCCCTGGATAGAATCAAGGACATCAAGGCCGGCGAACGTGTCTGGGCTTATCAGTTGTATTTGGGGGTATGAAGGCCTGGTAGCACTCGGTGTGCATCCGTACCATATGCCAGATTTCTGGGATGCATGTATCTGCGGAAGGTCCTCGTTCGATCCGGGGCTGGGCCATCGCTGATGATTGTATTTATTTTTTTCGACTTCGTTGAGCAAAGATTTAAACTGTGTTTATCGAGGCTGGAATCAGGAAAAGCAAGGCCTGGTAGCACCTGGAGTGCATCCGTACCATATTCATCGATAGTGTCTTCATATGTGCAGAAGGTCCCCGTTCGACCCGAGACTGGGCCATGTGTTAGCTTATTCATTTTTTGGCTCGTCACTTCCCTTTTTGACCGACGATGTCTGAGCAAGGATTCGAACTGTGATTATATTGAGCTTGTAATCAGGAAAAGCAAGGCCTGATAGCACTCAGAGTGCGTCCGTACCATACGTTCTGTCAATTTCGTCCAGATGTGCGGAAGGTCCCCGTTCAACTCAGGGCTGGACCATCATATATAAGGATTGGTTTCCCGCTTTTTCCTCCCTCCCCCGTTTTTGACTCGCGAAAGTGGTGGAACAGGTTTTATCCAGGTTCAAATTCAGGATAGAAGGCCTGGTAGCACTCGGTGTGCGTCAGTATCATATTTGCCATTGAATGCGCAATATGCGCAGAAGGTCCCCGTTCGACTCGGGGCTGGGCCATAGAAAACACTTGACGATCGACCTTTTTACCGATGTAAAATCAAGTGTTTAACATTCATCACTGGATCTATCAGAGATGAAATCAAGCATAGGAAGGCCAAGTAGCACTCGGTGTGCATCCGTGCCACATTTGATCGTAGGAGTGTGTGTGTATGTGCGGAAGATCCCCGTTCGACTCGGGGCCCGGCCATGGGTTCAAGAATCAACATGCATTTAGCCGTCGCATATTTTTTCGGCCACCAACATCAATGTTTCTTACACACTTCGGCAGCGCGCGAAGCCCAGATCTATTGCAGTCTCAGTTCGACTCGGGGTCAGACCATGTGTTGGTTGACTCATTCTTTTGGTTCCTCGTTTTCCTTTAGACCGGTCCCGCAGTTCAAGTTTAAACCTGGGCAGGAATCAGAGATACGAAGGCCTGGTAGCACTTGGCGTGCCGTACCACATTTTCCCTGGAACATTGTGCATGCGGAGGGTTCCCGTTCGATCCGGGGCTGGGCTATAGTCTGGGAAACTCGTATTTTTTTGGCAGGTGAATGAATGTGTTGAAATATGGTGTGGGTTTATCGTGGTTTGAATCAAGCATTCGGTGTGCATCCGTATCATATGTTATGTTGATTTCGTCCAGATGTGCGGAAGGTCCTGTGAAGAATAAATAAGCTGTCCACTGGTGGACAGAGATATGGGTCAGAAGTCCGGGAAATGGGGTGCAGGGGTGAAACAGAAAATGAGGGAATAGGTCCCAGGAATGCCGTAGACGCGTGAAAAGGGAATTGAGTCTCGATGGGGGAAAATGCCGTGTGGGCATAGAGTACAGGGAAAGGCTTGGTGGAGGCAATAACGTAGACCTCAAGTAGTTGATGTTCACTGGCGACGTGCTCACGGTGGAGCGCTCGGTTCACTGGTCGCAGGAATGCTCGTGGTTCTGCGGAGAAAGAGAAATATTTTGTCATGTGTACCTACGGAATAAATATACGGGTTGATACCCGATGTGCCGAAGAGTATGTGAGGAAACAGAAATAGGGGGAAAGGCGACGAGCGGATCATCCTCCCCTTCCACACCCGTTCGATTCGGGGCTAGGCCTTGGCTCGCTAAAGTGCTTTTTTTAAATGGCAGCTCGCGGCGTGCATCCGTATCAAATGTCCGGACATGTTGTACAGTAAAGACCACGCGGAAGGCCCCCGTACGATTCGTGCCTGGGCCATCGCTGACAATTGTAACTCGTTTTTGACTTCGGTGAGCAAGGATTCGAACCGTGTTTATTGAGCTTGGAATTAGGGATAGAAAGGCCTGGTAGCACGTTACCTTGCTTGTCAAGGTCTCTCCACACTCATAATTGGCTCTGATCTTGCCCCACCCATTGATCCTAGTTCTCCCGAGCCAATCATACAACTTTGCTGTCTTCGGTTACATACGGTGGGTAAATTCGCGGGTGTTACACAATTATTACACATTACCGGCTAGTATTGCCACCCGGGTGCCCACACGCAGCAATCTGCAGGACCAACACAATTGAAGAGTGCAAGCAGAAACTGGAAAGACACCAAGTTACACTTATTTTTGTCAAGCAAGGTCTCTTCCGACGTAGTCGGAGCTCTCTAGTGGTGTGTGTCCATCCTATATTCTTCAATATCATCTTCATATATGCGGAACGCCCCCGTTCGACTCGGGGCTGGGCGATAACACTGGACTCCCATCTTTTTTGGCTTCGTTCTCTCCTTCTTGGCTCGCAAACATGGTGGAGCTGGGCTTATTGAGCTTGGAATCGAGGATAGGAAGGTCTGATAGCACTTGGTGTGCGTCCGTACCGTATTCACCATTAATTTCGCAATATGTGCGGAAGGTCCCCGGTTGATTCGGGGCTGGGCCGTGTGGCAGTTTTCCTTCTCATTTTTTTGTAACCAATGGAAAAATCAAAAGCAAGTGTCCTAAACCGAGTTTATCGAGGCTGAAATCAAGCATTCTTCTTCCCTCCCTCGTCTTTGACCGGCGACAGTGTTGAAACGGACGTTATGAGGGTTTAAATCAGGATATGAAGGCCTTGTAGCACTTGGTGTGCATCTGTACCACATTATCAGAGAGCAGATAAGGAAGGTCCCCGTTCAACTCGGGACCAGGCCGTGATTCCCTGCCGAGCTTCTTATATTTATATACACCCATCCTCATATGTGAGTTAGTACCTGAATCCCAGTTTATTCAGCTTGGAATGAGGGAAAAGAGGCCTGGTCGCACGCTGTGTGTGTCCGTATCATATTCAGTCACTCAGCATTGATCTCTCTGTATGTGCGGAAGGTCCCCGTTCGATTCGGGGTTGGGCCGTGTGACGGTTGTCATTTGTTTTTACTCGATGGAGAAATCAAAAATGAGTGTTCAAATTGGTTTACCCAGGTTCGGAATTAGGGAAAGGAAGTGGCGTGCCTCCGCACCATATGTGCGGAAGTCCCCATTCGAGTCGGGGCTGGGCCATAAATACTATTTTCAACCACCTAGTTGGCCACCCTACCTAGTTGGCCACTTGAGAGCTAGAAGGCTAGAGCTTGATAATTATGACTGGGCATAATGTACGAACAGAGTACGACCTCCCACGAATGTCCAGACCAAATTTCAGCCGAAAGTGATGTGATTCAAAACTACGTCATCGCGGATCGGGTTCCGAAGCGTGGGAAATCAATTTCTTGCCGTCGGGCCGCTCGCCTCACTTGCCCTCGCCATTTCTCCACCACTTTCTTCGTCGATCCACGACTTTTGGGGCTCGTTCTGATCCCCCGATGCTGGGCTTCTCTCCTTAATGCACTGGATGGCAATGGGCTGGCTACCTTTCTTAACACACTCGGCAAAGGACCACTTCCTTTTTGAGTCAGCCAAACTGGCCACCGTCGGGGTACACGACACCGTCATGCTATTGGTCTGAATTCCTACACAATACTTCTACTATCCAATGCATCCTTCTGAGAGGTATTTCTGGATTTTATTGATCCAACTCTGATCGTTCTGCAGGCCATTATCTCAATCACCCAATTTGGTCTCGCTAATAGTCGGATTTTTTGGAGGAGCTACCACATCTTGGATGGAGTTAGGCATTCAGGTACATCTCAATACTTCCCATTAAGTAGTGTGGATCTTAATTTGGCTCATCTCGGCTTTTTTTCTACTTGTAGGACACTGGTTCATTTCACCACCCCGATTTTGGAGTTCCCCATTAGTTGGAAGCAGATTTTCTGACGCTTTGTATGCCTCACATATGCACCAAAACTATGTGAAGTAGTCATATGACCTACCTCTATGATTTAGAGTACATGTGGCCGCCATTTGAGAGCTCAGCCCATAATTTAGCGGGGTGGCCAACTAGCCTGTTATTTGGCCATGTTGTACTGTCGCGCAAAATAAATTCACTGTGAACTCAAATGTGGAATATTTGAGGACTTGGGGTCTTGAACTCTTGCTAGGATGCATGCCTTCGCTCTGATGTAGTTGTGCTTCGATTGACCCATTTAAACGACAACGGGAGAGGAACAAATGCTTAAGTGGCCACTAAGTGGTCGAAAATAGTACACTTCTCTCTTTTTAGTTCATCTCTTCCAGTGATCCTCTGGAGGTGCACAACTCATTGGTCCGTTCAATGTCGAAGATCGGTGGAGATTTTGTGGCCCAGTGCTTCCAAAAAATTGGCAAATCAGTCTAGCCCGTATAGGGGGATTTCGGATCACCGAAACGGATCAGTGACCTCATACACCACCGCGGAGATATTTGAACAGACATTGAAATACACACACTGCCGCATACATATCACAACCGCAAGAAGTACTTAATCGCGCCCATCGTTCGAAAGCCCGTGCTCGAAGCCTATGGGAAACAACAGCAGGCAGAGGAAACATCATTGAGCTAAATTCTGCTGAAGAAATGTGTTAGTGAATGCAATGGGTGGAATCCAAAGCAATATACCTTATTAATAGGACTGGGTCGTCAAAAACAGTAGTTTTCGTTTGCTCAG